TTTGATTTAAGTTTGGACAAAAAAACTCTAATCCGAATTGAATTTTGACAAGTCTCGGATTAAGACCTCGGGTTGTCGAATTTAACTCAAATATTAAAATCAGGTTAAACCCGATTATTAAATCGGGTTGAACCTGAATATACATAAATATATAAATATATTTAAATAAGACTAATATTTATCTTCACTCTTAAGAGTTTAGACTTTCACTTCATTTCAAATCTTTATCCCTGTACCTCCATCACTCTGATCTCTCTGTCACTTGTCTCTCATTTGATCTTAGACTCTTAGCCTCCTTCTCTTACTTGTTACTCGTTTGAGTCATCTCAAACTATTAGTCTCCCTCTCCCACTCTTCATTTCTCTCTCTTTTATCAACCAGAATTAAGAAACCCGAATCCAACTCGATTTTTAACCCAAAAATAGTCTAAATTAAGTAATCTGAATTTAACTCGAGCCCATCCGAATTAAACTCGAGTTGAGTACCTTGGGTTGAGGTAGGGTTAGGGTTAGAGTTAGGGTTGAAAATTATATACTTAGAGTTGGGCTAAAGTTGACCTCTCAACCCTCACAATCCGCCCTAGTTGCATCCCTAATTAGTTGTGTGCTGGAAGAGTCTTAAAATAAATGGAGAATTATATTCAACCCTCTTGAGGCTTGTTATTTAATTACTTAGACATCTAATATTTAAAATAATACATACAGATCTCTTAAGTTTTGTACATGTATAATATTTAGACCCCTATTGTCGATGTTCGTTAATATATCCGTGAATAAATTATACTCATATCCCTTCAAATTTGTAGACGTGTAATAGTAAGTTCTTCAAATTTAAAATATTACATTTAGACCCTTTTATTAGTTACATAACTTACAAAATTTATTAAACGGTCAAATTACCCTAATTAAAGAAAAAGATATTGTATGCAATACGGTTTGATCCCTTGTTTAGTTTTTTAATTTTATTTCAATAGATATTACAGTTGTATATTAATTATAATTTTTTTAAGAAAAAATTGAATTTTATTTTTTTATTTTATTTTATTTCAATAAATAACATAATAGATCATGAATTTTTGTTATAAAATTAAAAATATTTGATATTCTATCTTGATTGAAGTATTTTCAGTCTAAGTATAATATTTTAAACTTGAGAGGTCTAAATATTACATACCTAAAAATTTAGGGGCTCTGAATATAATTTATTAATAGATAGATTTACGAACATTGACGACAGGGGTCTAACTGTCATGTGTGAACAAATTTTAAGGGTCTATGTGTATTTTAAATATGAGAGGATTTAAGTGATTAAATGAAAAATCTTAAAGAGTCAAATTGTAATTTTTCCTAAAATTAATATTATATTATCAAGATCCATTATAAATATTAAGATTGGTCTTAAAATTATAAAACCCAACTCCAAACAACCAAAACCTAAACTCAACAGGCGTGTAACACACGAAGGGTAAAAGAGGGTTTTGGGAAAGTATAAATGTCACGGAAAAGTTCTTTCAGTACTATATTCTCGAAGAGTAATGATAGATAGATTTAAAAATTAGATTTATAAATTAGACTTGATGTTCTCAATCGTATAAATAAATTTATAGATAGTGAATTTCAATAAATACTAGAATCCACAGTAAAATCAATTGATGTAATCATTAAGTCTACTTTTTAAGTCCATGTAACATTACTCATCCTCCAATAATTATGGTTTATTTTTATTTTAATTTAGCTTTGACGGTTGATAATGAAAAATAATAAAATAAGATAAATATTTTTAAATATATTAAAATTTTATTTTTTTTCTAATGTGGAAAAACTATTTTTCTAGTACTTCCAAAAAACGAAGAAAGCAACAATTCTTAAACAAAGTGGCCGATCTCTGTTCTGCTGCGTGCGTCTGTCGACAGAAATCTGCAACCTACACAGAGAGAGTCGCTACTCTGTGTGTGCCACTGAATCCACCCCACCTCACCGATCCCAATCTCAATCCCAATGTCCCGCTCTATTACCTTTTACCCATCATTTTTTTTTTTTTGAGTATTGATATTAGTGATTTTACTATGACTTTTGGATTGATTGCGGGCTCCATCAAACATTGGAACTTGGAATTAATCTAATGGTTCCAATGAAACTATATCATTATATCAACAAATTATATCAAATTTTTAAGTCTCAATAACATTATTCTTTTTTTTTTTTTTGTCTTTTAACCCAGCAATATCAAGGGAAAGGCTCCGGTATCGTACCGAAATTTATAATTATTTAAGGTTAAGTTATAATTTTTTTTAAAATTGTAGGTTATAATTTTTAAAGATCATGATCGATCATGATAAATTCGGATTGATATCAAAGTTACAATTTTTAAAAATTAAATTACAACTCATAAGAGAAAAATTATAACTACTCAGGAGAAGTCCATGATCGATCATGGTCCCCTTGATCAATTATGGACTTCCCTTGAGTAGTTGTAACTTATCCGTTTTAAATTATAACTTTATCATAAAAATAATAAGTGACCGTACGATACCAAAGGTAAGCTAAGTTCAATATCAAATATTGAACTTTTATATTTTTAATTTGGTACTCCCAAATTTCAATATTTTATGTAAATAATTTTCTATCAGGGCTCTCTTACTTCGAAAATTTTCTACTTACCCCAACAACTTCGGCATTAGTAAAAGTGTTTTTATTTTCCCAATGATCTTTTTTTGCGGAGAAGATTCACTTCAAGCTCTCAGTTTTAGACAAACAAGGACAAAAATTAAACTTGCAACTAGAAAACATAAGAAATTTTTTTGTTATTTTAACTTAATTTAGATAACTAATAGATCGTGATTATTGAATTAAAAATTAGATTCAGTTAATAGTGAAACTCACAATTAATCATAAACTAATCGAATAATTTCAATGAATTAAATCTCTAATCCAACTTAAGTCTTTATAACATTCATTTGCTCTCGAGTTCTTAATTTTCATCCAAACTTGATATTGGGCTTTGTAAGTTGATGATGTGTATAGCTCAATTGTGCAGAACTAAGAATGTTAGGTGCACCGAAAGGGCTTTGTAAGATAAATTATATTTACATCCCCTGACATTTGACTAAATGACACATAGACTCCTTGATATTTTTACAATTACATGAAAACCCCTTGTCGGCGTCGATAGGTGATCGGCATTAACAAAAGTGATAAATGACTATTTTAACCATTTAATTTAATTTAAAATAAAATAATACATAATAAGTAATAAATAAAATATATTATCAAAAATTAAATTAACCTACAACAAACCTCATCACAACCCTTACTGACAGGAGTCTCACTAATCCCTTACACCACCGACTGCCGCCACCACTCCTCTCCTATCTCTCTCTCTCTCTCTACCAACCTGCACCGAACCCATCACAATCAAACCTCCCAACTCAGCTACCACCACTCTAAACCCATCACTCCCATCGACCTAACCTAGCGGCCATCACTCCAAACCTATCACTCCCCACCCCCTTCTCTTTCTCTTTGTACCTCTCTCTTCTCTCTCCCTCTCAGATCCACCCAGCCCCCAACCCCACAAACTCCATCGACCCAACCCAACTGTCGCCACCACCACCACTTCAAACCTGTCACTCCCAATCCCTTCTCTTTCTATCTCTTCTCTCCCTTTTAGATCCACCCAGCCCCTTCCCTGCAACAAACCACATCGACCCAACCCAGCTTCTGCCACCACTACCACCACTCCAAACCATCACTCTGAACCCCCCTTCTCTTTCTCTCTTTTATCTCCTTCTCAAATCCCCCAGTTCCCTGCCCCCTTTCGTACAACAAACCCAATCGACCCAACCCCCAGCTGCCACCACCACTCCAAACCATCACTCCCAACCCCCTTTTATCTCTTTGTCTACCTCTCTTCTCTCAAATCCCCCTGCCCCTCGGTCCCCACCCTGCAAACACTTTAATTATTGATGTGATAATTAATGCTCTATTTAGTATAATGAAAAAAATAAAAAGATAAAAAGTTAGAAGCATATAAAATTAAAAAAATACATAAAACATCATGTTCGATAAAAAAGAAAAATAAGAATAATAAAAAATAGATTGATGAATCTTTTTTCTAACTCACCAAAATTAATCTCTCTAAAATTAAAAAAAAATAGATAAAAAATTAATTATTTGAGTTGAAATATATTTTATTTGTTTATATATCTTTTAATATATACATATTAGTGATAACTCATACCTGAAAGTACGATAAAATATAAAATTTGAGCCTCTAAAAAATCGATCCCACTATATTAAATTTTTTTAAAATACATTAATTATAAATTAATCAAATATTAAATAATTAAATATATAATAGAAATGAGTGATATAATATTTTTAGGAAAGATATATATAAATAATTAAACATGTGATAAAAACAAGTAATATGATTTTATGTTTAAGTCTAACAAAGGGATGATAGATAAGATAAGTGATTAGTGATAATTTTGAAAAAAAAAAAATATGATTAAAATAAAATTCAAACACACTCTTGTTTTATTATATAGATATTATATATATTAATTTTATTTATATTTGCTTTAAAAAAATTAAAAAAAAATTTTTAAAAATATAATATATATATATATATATATATTTTTTTTTTTTATCTAAGAGTAAAATTTTTCTGACTCAACATAATGACACATCTCAAACTCAACACAAATTTTATAACATTATAACACGATCATTAAGGTCCTAACCATATCATTAAGTCACTCAATAAAAGATTATTGCCCCATTAGAAAACATTGGACTTACACAAAAACTAAAATCTAGCAACACAACAACACACTTCATTAAATTTTAAATCCAAAACCACTTACACGTCACACCTAGTAAGAACACCAAACAACCTGCGCAAACCAACGTTTTCATTTCCATAGTAAACTTTAACCTACACGACAAGAGAAGCTAGCCAGCACATCAGGCATTTTCATGGTTGTCAACTCTTGGCCACTAGTGACAGAAAATGACCTTGAGCTCATGTGGCGACGAGCACTCATGCATGAGAGAAGGGCTGTCATGGGCGTACGTAAATGTAGCCGGACAAGCATGCTTGAAGAACTCAGAGTAGCTTGAAGCTCTACACGTCTGTGGACTATTGTAATGGTTTCTACAACACAGCTCGTCCGTACCCATAGCCTCGCACCCACTCTTACAACCCACCACCTTCCCATGACCCGCCGGGTACCGGAACTGCAAACTCGCCGGACAAGTCGCTAGCAAGTCAGCCTTACATCCGACGACCGGACACTTGCCCTTGCCTTCGTGGGGTGTCACCGTCATGGGGAGGTTGAAACCGTCGACGAGGCTGACGCCGTAGGAGGAGAAGTCAGCTTGGCCGTGGTGGAGAGAGAACTGGGCTAAGGTGGCGGGAGTTGCGCCACCGTGGCCTGCGCATTCGAGTTTCCCAGCGCAGTCACCGGTGATGCAGCTGAAGCGGCCGTTGGAGTGTGTGCAGCCGGTGCGGCCCCAGAGACGGCCGGACCAAGGTTGTTCGGGGACTGGGAAGGAGCGGTGGTTTAATGTTTCAAGGGCGAAACCACCTTTCTCGAGGACGGGGAGGCCGGAGTTGGGTTGGATGGCTGGCCAGATTGTGAAGGGACAGTTGTTGACTACTGTTAGAACGAGATCGGGATGTGCGACAGTGGCGGTGGAGAGGGTGAGGAGGAGAGAGAGAGAAAGGAGGGTGGCAGAAGCAGTGGTGGCCATGGCTGGAGTTGATAACGAAGACGGGGTGTGAGGAGGCTTGGGAGATGGCTTGGTTTATATAGACGTGAATGGTGTGTGACACACTAGTTACCTAGTGTCGGTGTTGGAAGAGGAGGTCTAGCGGTGAGTGTGAAATGACTGTACAACCCTTTCTAAGTACGTTATAATGGTTAGTGTCTATTTTGCAATTGCAGTTACATCACTCGGATAATTATATGTCAAAAAGTTATTATTTTTTAAGATTAAATTACATTTAATTAAAACTATTTATGGAATAATTCAAAATCAAGTGTTTTTTTTTAACTTAAAAAAGTATAATTTATTTTTTTAAAATTAATCATTTAAAAAAATTATAATATTTGAATCTTCATCTTGTCATAATATTTTTGTTCAAAGTTATCGGATCAAAAAAGTTACAACAAAAATAAAACAAAGCATAAAGTAAAGCGAAGGAAAGGTGAACGTACTGCATCATTGCAGGGAATATTACCTTTATGTTTGGAATATACTCCTAATAATAGTGTAGTCGAAAAAAATAAATAAAAATAAGGATTAAATAATAATAATAATAATAATAATATAAATTTTAAATGTAAAAAAATATGATTTCATATTATTTGATATCGATTTTTAATCTCTTTTTTAATTAATCCAGCATGCAGTATTTCTCCACTGTAAATTACTAACATTTAACAACAATAAAACCTATTTGATATTTGTATTCATTTCAAAAATAAAAAAATTTAAAACTGTCACCACCTCCAATTGTAGTTTTGGTTTGATTACTATTTTAAATTAATAAAATTCATCTTTACTATTTATTTTGGTCATATAATAATATTATTTAAAATTAATTTGTTGACATAATTTATTGTAAGTATAAAATTAGTTGTGAATCTCAATAAATATTAAATTTCACTGTCAACCCAATATTTATGAATAATCTTTTCAGTAGTGCTATACTGACCAAAATTAGTGACCAAAAAGATTGGCTAAATGATATGACGACTAATATGGAGAGTCTAACGAGCAAATACTCTTCTCAAGTTTGAATACCCTAATTGTGTAAATCAAAAAGAGAAGTGAATTAATGCAAATACTCTTCGTCGATGAATACCCACATTGTGCAAATCAAGGAAAAAAATGAATTAATCTTGCCTAATTAATCTTTCACGTCAATTGTCATGTCATTTGATCAATCTTTTTTATCACTAATTTTTGTCATTATAACATTACTGTATTTTTTTAGTTAAATTCGTTGATCTAATGATCTCCCGGTATAATAAATAAAATTTGATAAATTATTTGGTATATATAAATCATTGTTCGAAAAAAGAGTTTTTTTTTTTTTTTTTTGGAGAAGTTATAACATGAATTAACAAAATCCAAAAGTAAAAAACAAATCATCCTTTTGATGGGATAAGATTGCAGCAGTGGAAAAGTGTCACGTTTTGTCCATGGCGTTTTCCCCNAAAATCCAAAAGTAAAAAACAAATCATCCTTTTGATGGGATAAGATTGCAGCAGTGGAAAAGTGTCACGTTTTGTCCATGGCGTTTTCCCCGAGAAAAGATAAAGAGAAGGAATCATGTGCCGAGCCACAGAAACAGCAAGCAGTGTATAGTAGGTAGGGCCCACAATGTACGAAGGAAATGAAAAGACAAAAGTAGTAGTGGATAAAAAATGTTAAAAGGAAAATAATATTTGTATTTAATTTAGTAAAGTTTATTTGTTGAATTGAATCGATATTAGGTCTTAAATGATAGCAAGATTTAATCTCAATTTAATAATAAAAAATAATAAAATTAATAAATAAAATCTATTTAGCACTGCTCAATGTTAAAATTTATATAAAATAATCTGTGGTCAGACATAGCCGGTGAAGTTATCAAGTTCCTGTCCAGATAATTCCAAGTCCCAACATAAACTTTTACCACCAAAAATAAAAGAGAAATTCTACATTACCCAAAAAAAACAATGTGATACTGTCTCGTGGTTATCACTATTTAGAGGTAAAATTAAAAATTTAAAAAGAGAAATTACAATTGCTACATAAAAATTTATGATTAATCACACACACCTATAATCGATCAAGAAAATTTTGATATCGATCTCAATCTTTTATAATTGATCATACATACCCTTTAAAATTATAACTTGTACCTCAAAAAAAATTATAACTTAAACCTTTAAAAGTTATAATTTTTGACAGTACCATAGCTTTTCCCAGAATAAAATAACTAACACTATTGGGACATGATTTTAAAATATAATTTGAGGATTTAATACATTATTATCGTTGAAATTGATGGTCAGATGCATTTCAATACTAAGACCCAATGCTAATACAATGATCACAATCGTAATGTTCCCAAAAAAAATTGTTCAAATAAAATATTAAGTGTAGAAGCTTTTGTTCACTTGGGCTTTCAAGGGTGTATTGGGCACATGTAATTGGAATAGCTGGGCAATGTTAAAATCCACGACTCCGAATCTCACAAACTTTTCTCTGTCTCTAGACATAGAAACATACCAAAGCTTAGTGGGCCGAAGCCCACTAGAACTGACAAGATCTTAGTGCGTTGAAACACAAGACAGTCCCAACTGACGAGAAATATGTTAAAAACAAGTCCAATTATGTCTATCCTTAATCCTAATTGTGACAACGTAAGAATCCAATGTAAACATAGTATCTATTTAAATATGCATGAATGACCCCTTGAAATAAGCATGCACAAAAGTGCTATAACTAATGCTCCGTTTAGTAGAGAGAATGAAAAGTAAGAAAGATGAAAAGTAGGAAGGCTACACTTTCTATCCTTCAAGAATGAAAAGTATAAATAATACACTTTCCTTCCTTTGTTTTTATTTCTCCAACTTTTCATCCTTCCAACTTTCTATCCTCCCACTTTTCTATCGTACCAAACGGAGCATAAAAGATTTATGCAAATGCGTACTTGAAGAATGCCTTATGGAAACTATACAAAAAGATAAAAACATAAAAAGAAGGTGTTCATCTAGTTCTTTTATGCTCCGTTTGGTAGAAAGTATGAAAAGTAAAAAAAATGAAAAATAAGAGAGATACATTTTCTATCCTTCAAAGATAGAAAGTAAGAATGATACACTTTCCTTCATTTGTGTTTAGTTGGATTGATGAAAATTAAAAATAATTTTTTTTTTAATTTTTTTTGTGTTAACTAAGATTAGGAATAACAATCGAGTCGTGTCATGTCAGATTCGTGTTGAGTCATAAAATTATGAACCTTTTATATTTTTTATTCGCATGTTAGGTCATTTTCAAATTGGTGTCGAGTTATAATCAAGTTCGTGTCATAAAATTCGTGTCAAGTTCGAGTCGTATTATCGTATTGAATCAAAAAATTTCACCCCTAAAAAAGATGAAAAAATATATTTTTTTTAATTTAATATTTTTAAAATATATATAAATCCATATTTTAACATTGTATTTTTATATAGAATTAATGTATATATAATATATAAACAAATAAGATATATCTCAACACAAAAAATTAACTTTCCATTCACTTTCTTTTCGATTTTGGAGGGATTGATTTTGGTGCGTTAAAAGAAAAGTTAATTCATCAACTTTTCCATCTGTCTTACTTTCTTTCATTACCAAATATGATGTTTTATTTATCTCTCTAACTTTTTATCTTTCCATTTTTTTATCATACCAAACAGAGCAACGGTACTTGAATCTTCGGTTGTGATAAATGAGGTGGTGTAAACATGTGTAAATTATGAAGAAGAAATGTATATATCATGTATGCAAGTGACAATAATGCACAAACTGCCTCCTACAGGATTAAATCGAACAATGCTGACATTTTATGATGCAAGCAATTCACGTAATCAAATATGCATTGGCGGGTCCACATGCCGACGGGATGCTTCAAGCACTCACAGGGAAATAATGGAAGACTTAGAATTTAGCATGGATGCAATGATAAATGCTAAAGGTCAACCCACAATGAGAAGCCTAGATTCATGATCTTATCATTTCACCATATAGTGGCATAGGATCCCACACACTTTTTCACAAACATTCCATGGTTTTCAATTTTGGTTATGATTACCAAACATTTGCGAGTTTAAAAAAAAAAAAAAAAGTTCCTACGTACTTAAAATGAGCCCCCACCTCTCTCCCCATCTTCTATACCCACTTCCACCTTGAACCAACTCAAGCTTAAGATGAGAACACTGACTCTAGTCCATTTTCTCGTCCTATGGCTTCTGCTGGCCACATTTCAACCCCATTTCACCATTATTTCCAAGGTTCAAGCTATAGAACCAGGCAAGCTACTAACTTCATATCCCCACTAGTTATACAATGTCACTTGATAAAACACGAGTTTGCACTATGTAGATAGTACCATCTTTATGTTTGAGCCAAAAGAAATAGGAAATCTGGTAAAAAAAACTCACCCGCTTTGATGCTTGCATAATACAAGTTTCTAATGGAGCTTACCTTCTCATTTCCCCCTTGTGTAGTTGATTTCAAGCTCAGGCTGGCACCCCACAGCTCAAGGTCGACCGCTGGATATATCCTAACTACATGGGTAGGTATAAAGTGTATGATTTTTCTTTGTAGGAGTGATAACTTTTTCCTTTCATTTCTATTCATCCAGCGGCTTATATCTCTGAATCGATATATAACAAACTGAATAATATCAAGCAGGTAAAAGAGAACATGAATCATAAGAAGCCATCTGGACCCAACCCAGTTGGAAATCATCGCCCACCATCAACGCCTTGAATCCATGAATGCATTTGTACTGTCTATTGAGTACAAACACAGTATTTCTTAAAAGGGTGATGGAGGTCAGACACATTTGTACAAGGTAGCAAAAATCTCATGTAGGGTGTTTGGTTTGTCCAACGATGGGATATTTTGGTAAGTTTTGAATGCCTTGACACTTTGTCCAACAAATGGCAGCAGAATCTTCTGTGACATCTAAAGCACTTTCTAAATGACTCCTATGTTTTAAAACAAAGTTTGTAGACATTACCCTAATGTCTCAACATAGGTTATTTCTCTTCCTCTGGAGTAATGTATGCCGTATTTATGTTTTATTAACCATCTTCCAAGACAAGCTTCTATCCCTGAGCTTCGCAAAATATTCCAGAGCAGATTATACCTAAGCCAAAAAAGTTCACTAGCCAAGTTGCTGCTTCATGCTAGTATTAGGCCATCCGCCCATATCACTTGATAATTTCTAATTCTCATACGCTGAAAATGGTGTAGTTGGAGACGTGGAAGGCCAAATGCAAATGTGGCTTGGAAAGAGGTTTTTGTTCAGTTAAATTGAGTTAGGTTGTGTGTGGCTCTTTCCAACCTAATAGACAATTGATTTTCACGATATATAGACCTTGAATGAGCCGACATGAAAATGGCCACTATTTATTGAAAATAAGATACAAGTTGTTAAATATACAGCATTCAGCAGACACT